GTGCACATTAACAACATTGTAAAACAATAAGAAAGGAAGGAAAGATGTAATAGATATCCCCAGCTTTTCATCAACAAACAAAATATGGCAGAGATTGAAGTTTTATAGTGACACTTGGCTCAATTCAAGAACACAGGAATAATGACACTCAGCTCTACCTCTCTTTTTCAACTAATCCGGGTGAGGCAGTGGCTGTCCTGAACCGAGGTAATGGGCTGGATGAGGGCCAGTAAACTGAAACTCAATCCAGATAAGACAGAGGTCCTGTTGGTGGGTGGCTTGGGTTTCCAGGTAGATGACTTTGGCCCTGTCCTGGACAGGGTTGCACTCCCTCTGAAGGACAGGGTCCACAGGTTAGGAGTGCTCCTTGATCCAGAACTGTTCCTGGTGACGGCCGTGGCGAGGAGCTCCTTCCTTCAGCTTCAGCTGATCCATCAGCTGCGGCCCTACCTGGATGAGAGCTGCCCAGCAACAGTGACACATGCACTGGTAACCTCCTGATTGGACTATTGTAACATGCTCTACGTCGGGCTGCCCTTGAAGACGGTCCGGACACTTCAGATGGTGCAAAATAGAGCTGCCAGGATGTTGTCGGGGACCAGTTGTTACTCTCACATAACTCCAGTCCTCTATCAGCTCCATTGGTTTTGCATTGAAATCCAGGCCCAATTTAAGGTGCTGGTTTTTGCCTAGGAAGCCCTAATTGGCTTGGGACCAGGATACTTAAAGGAACATCTTCTTCCTCATATGCCCTCCCACCCCCTAAGATCGGCAGCAGAGGCCCTGTTCCAGGAACCCTCCTTGAAGGAGGTTAGGAGAGAACATACTTGGAGGAGGGCCTTCTTTGCGGTGGCGCCCAGGCTATGGAATGCACTCCCCAGAGAGGACCACCTGGTGCCATCTTTATATGTTTTTCAGCACCAGGTCAAGTCCTTTTTATTTAACCAATATTTTAACGATACATTTTAATTATTATTAGAATTAATTATTTTAATATAACTTATTTTATTAATTTATTTTATATATTTCAGTCATGAGATATCTAATTTATTATTGTTTAGGATACAGATATTATTTATTGTTGTATTTATAGATTGTTGTGAGCTGTCCAGAGACGAAAGTGATTGGATGGCCTAGAAAAATCCTAAATAAATAAATAAGTATTGATCAGAATACCTTTGAAAGGATAAGAGAAATCCTTAACTTGTTTAGTGTGCCATATAGTAATCTGTACAGTACTTGACTCTTTATTTCTTTAGAAAACTGCTTTTCATCGCTCTCAAACTCTGGGTTACAAGAATGGTTTTGCATTCAAACGACTTCCAACCGTGGGGATAGGAGGAAACAGGTTGTATTTAAACCAGTTATCCCAAGCTGAATTGGATGAACTGTCCAACAAGAGACCTACATTAACTTATGGTCAACCCAAACAAGCACCACCTGCAGATTTCATCCCAGCACATGTGGCCTTCGACAAAAAGGTATTATTCAAGAATGTCTTTTAGGATCAGGGATTAGTTAAGTGTTTACTGCAAAGTTTAGGGAACAACATATAGCAGAATTGTGGGGAAGAAATTGGGTGAATAACGCCCATTATCGCATCAATTTCTCTCCTGGCTGACTCTGGAGTATAACAGCTCAGTTTGTAATCAAGAAACCGCAAGTTATCTGTGAGGTTGAGTGTGCTGGATTCTGCCGGGTTACCTGCTTCTACTTTCTGAAGCAGTACAGGAATGCCCTGTTTCTAAGTCATGGCTTTAACCCATGGTTTGTTGTTGAATTTCTGGTGTGGTGTGTGCACACCGTATTAAGGTGGCTGTTTCACACATGAGCAGCTGATGGAAACACAGACTCAGATAGTAAGGATGCGATTGTTGTGCAATCTCAGCATGTCCAAGCAATAGACCAAGGCCAATGTCTGAGAAGATATAGGGGAGAGGAGTTGGCAGTTTGGGCAATGAGACCCCTAGTTGATTCACCTGTGCAAACAAGGAGACAGGAAGAGGAGGAGGAGTTGACAGTTTGGACTTGTGAGAGCCCTAATCTCCCAGTCTGGATGCTGGACATGTCTCACAGCAAAGGTGTGGGGATAGAGAGCTCAGTAGTTTGTCGGACATAGAAGCCCCCTCCTTCTGAAGAGGTGGTGTCAGTTGCTAGGCACCAGCACCAGTGGTAGGTTCAGTTGGGGGGAAAACAGGAAGAGTACAGACGAGCACAATTTCACAGTGCCCCAATTTCTGGAGCAAGATGTCAAAGGGGTTATAAAGAAGCAAGGGAATGATTGATACTAAAGAGGGCTCAACGTTTCACTCTGGGTGAACTCAGAGTCATGCAACAATGAAGTTTGTTGGAAAAATGAGTTCCACAGTAGCATCTTTACTCAGGAAGAGGACCCCAGTTCACAACAGCTGGGTTGTTTCAGACAGGTGATTCGAGGTGGCAAGTGGGTGGGAGGCAGCATGCTTTCCCATTCCCCCACAGAACGCTGATTCCTGGCTTTTATGTGTGAATCAGGTCATGCTGTCCCCAGATCTATCTCTTGTTTTATTGTGGAAGGCTGGAATACTACTCCTAGAAGTAATTTGTCATCATATGATCACAGTACTGCTAGGTTTTCAGCAATGTGCAGAACTTAGAAAGTTGTGTGTGTGTGTGTGAGAGAGAGAGAGAGAGAGAGAATAAGGGTATATGCATATATACTGTAAGCAATTTTTCTGAGAGATTTTGAAATAGCTGTATCTAGGGGCAGTGTTAGGTACCAAAAAGATTTGATGCCCCAGCTTGCAGGACAAAAAATGTACAAATTAGCATATGCTAATTATGTGTGCTTTCTTTATGTCTTCTGTATTTGTAAAAAGGGATGTATTGAAGGGAGAGAGGAAGGCATTTGATTTCAGAAAAATCTCAGAAGATTCAAGGGTGAGAGGGAAGCAGGAGGTGAAGCACATGTGAGCAAAAAGCCAGCTAATCCAGGGCGATCAGTTGCTTTTTATGCTTTTTTACATTTGTAAACTTCTTAAAGAACCTTTAACTATTGGGCAATAATGAAATGAAATGAATAGAGATCATCAAGGCCTCTCTACCTTTATTTCAGCAGTGGCAAGAACTGAGGGAACAGAAAGATGGCTTCCCAGAAATTTGGGCCTCAATCCTACTAGGCCATCTCCTTATGCTATCTCTGACTGTACTATAAGTCTACAAAATAAATAACATTGAAAAATAATCAATGATAATGATCAATGAATAGGCAGAGACTCATATTATCAGATTATAAAAGAAAATATGAAATGTGCAAAGATGGAATTGGAAGGATCAGAATAGTGACTCAGCCAAAAACAGTTGCATTCTGTCCACTTATCTAACTAAAACACAATGTAGTAAATTAATACCTGAGATACAGATTTTAGGCTAAAATACTTGGGCATAGAATGCAAATAGGACTAATATTAGGTGCTGCCTGAAAATGCAATTAGTGACATTTTTTCAAACAAATCAAGTTACAATCTACAGGTCGGATCATGTCCTTTCAGCAACTGAGGACTGAATGGTTATTTCTTGGTATCTGTCAGCAAATTATATAATTTAGCACTTATATACCACCTTTATTTTCCAAAGGGAAACCTAAGGCAACTTACACCAACATAACTAAAAATTATAATTCAAAATTTAGCATAACCTATATCTTCTCAAACAAGCTTCTAGTCCAGTATTGCCTCTGTAGAACAAAGAGATGAAACTCCCCCTTTGTATTTTTCAAATTCCATTCCATCAAAAGTCCTAAACTTAAAGAGCAGGTCTTCTGAAGCACTGGCCTATCTTTAGGAAGGAGAAATTAAATTATTTGTTTCTGCTTCTGCTGATGTTAGCCTGATATTTGAATACAGCTTCTCTCCTTTCCCCAGAAGACTGTTTCCCAGGCATATCCTTGTATATCTCCTGGGTTCAATACGAATAAAGGGTAGCATATTTCCAATTGCTCATACTGTCATAGGGTCAGTGCCATACAAGAGGGTCTCTTGGAATCATGTTGTTAAAGTACTTGTTTACAGACTCATGGGAATCTTTTATTTTTTTCAGGTGCTGAAGTTCGATGGTTACTTTCAAGAAGATGTTCCCATATCAACAGAAGAGCATTTTCGTATCCGCCAAGTGGGCATTTACTATTATCTGGAAGATGATAGCATGTCTGTCATGGAGCCCATTGTGGAAAACTCTGGGATTCCTCAGGGCAAATTAATCAAAAGGCAGCGGCTACCCAAGAATGATCGTGGGGATCATTATCACTGGAAGGATCTAAACCGAGGAATCAATATAACTATTTATGGCAAGACTTTCCGGATAGTTGATTGTGATGCATTTACAGAGGTGCTGTAAAGTAATTCAGTAATCCGCAGAAGTAACTGTATCAGATACAGTGGTACTTCGGCGCAAGAATGCCTCAGTTCATGACCAAATCGGGTCACAAACAGAAATTTCTGAAAATTTTTTCCTCGGGTCACGAACTCCACATCGGGTGACGATTGTGATCCCACTCGCCTCCCCCCTGAGTGCACCCACAATCGTGCCTGTCTCCCCCCACTTGAGCATGCCCGCTTCAAATTTTTGTGATTTAAAAAAATAGTTACAGAATGGATTAACCTTATTTACATTGAACCTTATGGGGAAATTTGACTTGGCTCATGACCAATTTGGATCACGACCAGAGTCCTGGAATGGGCCAAGGTACCACTGTAGTTAGAAATGAGCCAGCTGTCTGGCTAGTTGTCCACATGTCTTGTGCCAAAAGATGTTAATAAATTTTGTGTGTCTATTTGGCTGCTGATTAATCTGGAGTTTTCCTTTCCATATTTCACACAGAAATCTTTCCGGGATATTACTACATGTAATTTGAAAGATTGTCTGAAATATTTTAAAATGTATAGTAGATCCTTATGAACAAAGCTTGCTCCAAAAAGCCACTTACTCTGTGAACATGGGTTTAATAGCAGCATACAATACTCATTTGGAAAGTTTCAGCTATATAGAAGGAACCTACGTAAATCATTGGTTAACTTTTTGAGATATAATTCTACAGCCACAGAATAACAAATACTTATACAAGAGGAAAAATAGTGGCATTTGTAGGCATATTTCATTAAATTGCTCAAAGGGAAATCCAGATTTACTGTAGAGCAGAGTTGCACAATCCTTTCAGTCCCAAGGTCCACATCCAATGTCATACCTGTTCTCTATAAGCAACGTGTATAGATGCACACTCACGCACAAATACACACATGTGTGTGTAATTTGTAAAAATAATAATATTAATGGCATGGCTGTCTCTTTCTAGGCTTTTCTGGAGAGTCAAGGAATTGAACTGAACCCTCCAGAGAGAATGATTTTTGATCCTTACACAGAGCTACGTAAAATGCCTCCACGTATGTATGTCACACCCTCAGATTTTGACCAGCTCAAGCAGTTTCTAGCCTTTGACAAAAAAGTGAGTCTTTGAAAAGGGGTTGTGTTTATTTTATATTTTTCATAACTTTTTCTTCTTTATATAATAATATGTAAAACAGGCTTGTAAAAGAGAAGCTACAGCACAGACACTCTAAAATAACCCTCATCTTGCATTGTTTAGTAACTGTCATCCCCCAGTTCACATTCTGCACTGTACTTTACACCTAAGTAGTCCTACCAAGTTGTCCTTCCAAGACATCGTCACAAAGTGTCTAGTTCAAAATATCCTCAGATTTTATCTTCCTGCTTTTAATTATTTTTTTATAAATCAAAACTTTCCTGGGGCACAAAAATACCACAGTATTTCCATCAGAATAGTTGAACAGGATAATTTTATATCCCAGACAATAAGCTCCAAACAAAGAACAAAGGAAGGTTCAAAATAGATAACCTTGATTCATTTTTAAAGCCAAGATTTTAAACCTCTAGCAAACAAAGTTAAGATCTGTTGAGGTAAAGCTTTGCTAAGTTAGTAGAGTAAATTATTGTTTGCAAAGTAAAGGTCAATTGTTATGCAGATTTTCTGGTGTGGCATATCCTCAAAATGGATTAAACTTGAAATTACCTGTACTGGTTAACAGATTAAAGCCATTCTTTCATGGCTGGAAAACCCCTTGAAGGAATATTTCAGCCAGAACAAAGGTTTTTTTCTTTAATAGGCAGCATTTTTCTTGTCTGAGGCACTTTCATCTGACATGCAACTAATGACAGTTTCTTGTTGAGGTGGAAAGAGGTTTTAAAAAGCAGAAAATTAAACACTTGTAGCTTAATGCAGTTGATGTAAGGAGTTCATGTTTGGCTTTGATCATAAAGCATCATCTTTGTTACTATGGGCTGGCAAATGCTGTAACGGTGGAGTGCTCCTCCTCCCAGCTAGGGTAGTCCTGCTGCCCAAGATGCTGTTAAATGGAGATACCAAGGATTGAATTTGAAACCATATACAAGTAACGCTTGTGTTCTGTCACACTGTGCAATGGTCCTTCCATGTCTTACAGGTCCTTCGGTTTTACGCCATGTGGGATGACACTGCAAACATGTTTGGTGAGAACCGGCGTTTTATCATTCACTACTACTTGGCAGATGATACAGTGGAGGTGCGGGAAGTACATGAGCGGAATGATGGCAGAGACCCTTTCCCAGTGCTGATAGGACGTCAGCGCCTGCCCAAAAAAATGGTGGAGAAGAAAGGTAAATGGCCCATGTGCTCCCGTGGTTTGAGGACTGAGGGATTTGTAGAGTTGGTATGTGAATGCAAAAATTAGTGCATACAGGTGCATGTATAAACATGTTTGGGTGTACTATGAATCCAGTTAAAATTTACTGTGTCAGGAGTGCATGAATATGGAGGCATGTGAATTAGAGAGTCATAGCCAGCATGAGAAGTGTGTGTATGTGAGCATGAAGGATGTCCTTTTTCAAACTTCCAGATGTGATGGCATTAGGCATTAAATGAAATTAAACCAGGTTATGGACCATAACACCGAAATATTCTGTATTGCTCACATTCTTTATAAAATTATAAGTCAGCCTATTTTTATCATCCCTAGAGATGTTCCATCATTTAGACTTTTGTTAAATGCTATATGATAATATTGTCTCAGATCCTGTGACAATTACTTTTGGAATCTAAACATCTTGTGGTGAATTTGCATTCATTTAAAATTATTATATTGCAGAGTGATCTTATGGTATTTATTTATTTATTAATTAAAACATTTCTATGCCGCCCCTTGCCGAAGCCTCGGGGCGGCTTACAACACAATAAAATACAAAAATAACAATATAAAATTAACAATATAAAATAAATAACAATATAAAAGAAGTCGCCCTGGCCAGATAAATAAGCAAATATTTTTAACAATTAAAATGACGCTTAAATAAAAAGGTCTTCACCTGGCGCCGAAAAACAAATAACGACGGCGCCAGGCAGACCTCTCTGGGGAGCGCATTCCATAGATTGGACGCCACCGCAGAGAAAGCCCTCCTCCGAGTATCTACCTTCCTAATTTCTTTCATGGAGGGTTCCTGGAGAAGGGCCTCTCCCGCAGATCTCAAGGGGCGGCCGGGTGTATATGGATGTAAGTGCTCCTTCAGGTAACCACATCGCCTAGAGGCTTACAGGATTCTTTGCATTCCCAGATCCAAAGTCAGTCTGAGACCTGGAGATCCATGTGTGGATCCCTCTTCCCTGTCTTGCACTGATGTGAAAGGGGCCACCCCGGCTACATCACTGAGGCAGTAACCTTAACCTTAGAGAGGGTGCTCTGGAGACCAGAGACAAAAGGAGACTGGGTCCGCCAGGATGCACTGTATCCTGGTGGTGTTTTCCAGCCTCCTTTCCTCCCTGCTCAGAGTACCACAGCCAGCCAAAATCAGCCATCTATTTGCCTTGCAAGGCAGGAGGAGCGTAAATGGAAAGATTTCCCCATGTTTCTCCTCACCCTACCTAGTATGACCATCAACTGAGTTCAGAAGCTTATGGAACCCCACCCCTGCTCCATTGGATTGCACCCTTTATGTAGCAAAGTGAAGGAAGCACTATTGTCACTCTGTTCCTTAACCCTGGAGATATGAAAACATTTATATGTTTACTACATATACATTTTTCTTTGTTGTTATCAGGACCACATCTAACCAATTTCTTTCTTCCACAAGGAATCTTCCCATCCTGTGTCCTAGAGATCTCTGATCAAGAGGTGCTGGAATGGTTTACAGCTAAAGATTTTGCTGTAGGCAAATCTACTACTCTTCTTGGGCGCACATTTTTCATCTATGATTGTGATGAGTTCACTAGACAATTCTATCGGGACAAGTTTGGCATCACTGGCTTTGAGCCAGTTGATGTACAGAAGCCACCCCCAGAGAAAATAAAACAGGTAATAGGGGTACAAATAGTAATAGAAATAAACAAGAGAGTAGTGGAATAGGTAGAAGGCAGCAGAATCCCAGAAACCAACGTGTGCAGTTCCCGAAGGTTGCACCTCAGGTAGACATTTTTCTCTCCCGTCTCTCCCCAGGTCAAACAGACTAAACTGCCTTTGGGTTTTTTTTGCACCCTACTTTCAGCTTGGAGTGATGTCATCTTTTCTAATAGCTGATATTCCACATCCTGAAGAGTGAGTTCCCACTATCCTATCAGGAAATAATCTCCTGTTCCTTGATAGCTCCTTAGGTAAAGCATCAACTGACTGTCCAAGACTATTAGCAAACAGTCATTTCTACAAAGGATGGTCTGTTAACAACCTTAACATAAAGGATCCAAGGTCAGCAGAAATAGGGTCAAGGAGCCTGGGGTGCTAATACCGAGGTTCTAATACTGAGCTGTCCTATATGACCTCATTCTAACCACAAGCAGTGACCATGGTGGAATAGCAGAATGTGCTGAAGTGCTTTGAAATGAAAGTAGCCTGTTTAATACATCTTGAGCTAAGTCACATGGCATAGCATTATATTTCTACTTGGCTTCTTTTATTGGCAGATAATCCCTCCCTACAATGGCTATGGCTTCCTTGATGACTCTCTCCAGAATTGTTTCAGCCTGATTCCACAACCACCTCGGAAAAATATTATTAAGCTACTAGAGAATGACCATAAAGTGTTGCGCTATGCAGTAAGAATGGTGAGTTGTCTGATGCATACTGTTATTTCTGGAGAAAAGGAGGTGTTTGGGGATTTTAGGTCCTCTCTCTAATTCTTGTAACTGGTGGCAATGCATGAAGGCTTGCAGTGGTGGAATTTCATTGTAACTGGTAACAGGGAATTGGGGAAGATGGCTCCAAACATACACATTCCCTTTTTCATAATTAGCTTTGACTAAGCTTCATTAAAAAAAATGGGACAAATTTCTGAGTGGACATGTATAGAGTTGCACATTTAATCTAACTCTGGGAAGGAAGCACAAGGATGATCAAAAGGATTGAAACTAACAAATGGTTGAAAAACAGCATTATTCTGCATAGCCTATTGTTACCCTACATCTTGTTTGCAGAACTGGATCACACACATTCCTGATACATCTTCTAGTTACAGCTCCTGCTATCCACATAATTATCTTACTCTTCCTGGCAAAGCCCAGCATCGGAGCCTTTCTGTAAGCAGTTACAAACAAGGAGAAGAAAGTGCCTCATCATTATCAGGAACAGGCTGTGTCACCTTAATACCTGTTAGTTTTAAAGCTGTTAGGGTTCCCCCCTCCATTTAATCATGCAGATAACACCAGTTATCTACAAGTTAGCACAGTGGCACCTTTCGAATTTTTATCATGTCAGAAGTTTGGCTACATTTTGCTATCATGAAACTTAAGTTTATTGCTTTTGAGTAAAAGCTTTTCATACAGTTGAAATCAGACCTAGCTTTTTTGGTGTGCAGCAGATACATTTTGAGAACTACTCTGAACACTCAGCTTTTCATAAGTAGCCTTTCAGCCAGCCTGATTATTCCCTACCTATGCTGCTCATATCTGACCTTAATTTCTGCAGGAATCTCCAAATCCTGAGGACAGCAAGCGTCGTTTTGTGCTCTCTTATTGCCTAGCCACCGACATGATTAGCATCTATGAACCACCTGTGCGCAACTCAGGAATTATTGGGGGAAGATACTTAAGCAAGACTAGGGTCCCCAAGCCAGGGTCCTCTACAGATGATCCTGTTTACTATGAACCAGCTGACCTCACTGTTGGATCTATGGTGGAAGGTAAGTAGTAGGTTAAAAGTAAGTGGAAAGGTGGGTGTGCATATACTAAATTAATAAATCTTAGTATGGCTTACTCAGCACTATTTTAATTAGACTCATCTGTATTGGAAATATTAATGTTATTGATGTTTTCCCTGTTATGTAAAAATTCTTTTTGATATTGCACTGCTTAATATTTCATGAATTGTTGTTGTTAGTCACGAAGTTGTGTCCAACCCATTGCAACCCCATGGACAACATTCCTCCAGGCCTTCCTGTCCTCCACCATCCCCCAGACTCCACTTAAGCTCACACCAACTGCTTCAGTGACTCCGTCTAGCCACCTCATCCTCTGCCGTCCCCTTCTGCTTTTGCCATCTGTTGTTCCCAGCATTAGGCTCTTCTCCAGGGATTCCTTGCTTCTCATTAGGTGGCCAAAGTATTTGAGTTTCATCTTCAGTATCTGGCCTTCTAAAGAGCAGTCAGGGTTGATCTCGTCTAAGACTGACTGCTTCAATCGCCTTGCAGTCCAAGGGACTCGCAGGAGTCTCCTCCAACACCACAATTCAAAGGCCTCAATTCTTTGGCACTCGGCCTTCCTTATGGTTCAACTTTCACAGCCATACATTGCAACTGGGAAAACCATAGCCTTGACTATACGCACTTTTGTTGGCAGGGTGATGTCTCTGCTTTTTAGTATGCTGTCTAGATTTGCCATAGCTTTCCTCCCCAGGAGCAAGTGCCTTTTAATTTCCTGGCTGCAGTCCCCATCTGTGGTGATCTTGGAGCCCAGGAAAATAAAATCTGTCACTACCTCATCTATTCATTTCTTCCCCATCTATTTGCCAGGAAGTGAGAGGACCGGATGCCATGATCTTAGCTTTCTTAATGTTCAGTTTCAAGCCAACGTTTGCGCTCTCCTCCTTCACTCACGTCAAGAGGCTCTTTAGTTCCTCTTCACTTTCTGCCATTAGAGTGGTATCATCTGCATCTCTGAGGTTGTTGATATTTCTCCCAGCAATCTTAATTCCAGCTGGTGATTCATCTAGCCTCACCTTTCTCCTGATGTGCTCTGCATATAAGTTAAATAGGCAGGGCAACAGTATACAGCCTTGCCAAACTGCTTTCTCAATTTTGAACCAATCAGTGGTTCCGTGTCTGGTTCTCACTGTTGCTTCTTAACTCACATATAGGTTTCTGAAGAGACGAATAAGATGGTCTGGTACTTCCATCTCTTTAAGAACTTGTCCCAATTTGTTGTGATCCACACAATCAAAGGCTTTAGCATAGTCAATGAAGCAGAAGTAGATGTTTTTCTGGAACTCCCTAGCTTTCTCCATGATCCAGCGTATGTTGGCAATTTGATCTCTAGTTCCTCTCCCTCTTCGAAATCCTGCCTGTACTTCTGGTAGTTCTCGGTCCACATAGTGCTGGAGCCTAGCGTGTAGGATTTTGAGCATAACTTTGCTAGCATGTGAAATGAGTGCAGTGAAGCAGTAGTTTGAACATTCTTTGGCATTGCCCTTCTTTGGGATCAGAATGTAAACTGACCTTTTCCAATCCTGTGGCCACTGCTGAGTGTTCCAAGTTTGCTGGCATATTGAATGTAGGACTTTTACTGCATCGTCTTTTAGGATTTTGAATAGCTCAGCTGGAATACTGTCTCCTCCACTAGCTTTGTTGTTGCTCAGACTTCCTAAGGCCCATTTGACTTCACTTTCCAGGATGTCTGGCTCGAGGTCAGTGACCACCCCATCGTGGTTATCAGGGACATTAAGCTCTTTCTTGTATAGTTTCTCTGTGTAATCTTGCCACCTCTTCTTAATCCCTTCTGCCTCTGTTAGGTCCCTGCCATTTTGGTCCTTTATCATGCCCATCTTTGCTTGAAACGTTCCCTTCATATCTCCAGTTTTCTTGAAGAGACCTCTGGTCCTCCCTATTCTGTTGTTTTCTTCTATTTCTTTGCACTGTTCATTTAAGAAGGCCTTCTTATCTCTTCTAGCTATTCTCTGGAATTCTGCATTCAATTGGGTGTATCTTTCTCTTTCTCCCTTGCCTTTCACTTTCCTTCTTTCCTCAGCTATTTGTAAAGCTTCCTCAGACAGCCATTTTGCTTTCTTGCATTTCTTTTTCTTTGGGATGGTTTTAGTAGCTACCTCTTGTACAGTGTTGTTAACCACCGTCCATAGTTCTTCAGGCAGTCTGTCTATCAGATCTATTTGTCACCTCTACTGTCTATTCATCAGGGATATGATTTAGGTCATACCTGAGTGGCCTAGTTCTTTCCCCAACTTTCTTCAATTTAAGCCTAAATTTTGCAAAAAGAAACTCATGATGTGAGCCACAGTCAGCTCCTGGTCTTGTTTTTACTGACTGCATAGAGCTTCAGCTCCATCTTTGGCTGCAGAGCACATTGCCAATCTGATTTCTGTGTTGACCGTCTGGTGATATCCATGTGTAGAGTTGTCTCTTGGGTTGTTGGAAAAGTGTTTGCTATGTCCATCATATTCTCTTGACAAAATTCTACCAGCCTGTGCCCTGCTTCATTTTGTACTCCAACGCCAAACCAGCCTGTTATTCTGGTTATCTTTTGGCTTCCTACTTTAGCATTCCAATCCCCCATGATGATAAGGACATCATTTTTCGGTGTTAATTCTAGAAGGTGCTGTAGGCTTTCATAGAACCGGTCAACTTCAGCCTCTTCAGCTCCAGTGGTTGGGGCATAGACTTGGACTACTGTGATGTTGAATGGTTTGCCTTGGATTCGAACTGAGATCATTCTGTCATTTTGGAGATTGTATCCCAGTACTGCTTTTCCTACTCTTCATAGTCAATA